GGTCCAAACCGTTTAATGATATCTTGAAAATTAACGTAATTAGAGTCAAATTTCCCGCTGCAACCTTAAAGGCTTATGAGCAGCTCACTAGTCCACCTGTACTGGTGGTCTGAGAGTTAGAACAATACAGTATAACACTGTGAGGTCTGATCACAGACCTCACATAACTCCTTATAACATGGGGAGTTATGAGCTTACTGGTTGACAGGTTGTGTAGGCTTATATTGTCGGATATAATGAATGGTTAAGCTTAAAGTGTTCTCTTCTTATAATCATGTGAACAAATATGACACTACCAACAATTAAGAATATTATATGAGGATATTTATCAATGAATAAGGTGCAAAGGATTATTACACACTTGTTAGCTAGCAATGGTTGTATGATTTTTTGCGAAATATGGTATAAAATTGTAGGTTAGGTTAGGTTAGGTTAGAAATGTAATGTTAAGTAGGATCGGTTAATTTTAGTTAAATTTGACATTGTGGATATATTTAGGAGAAATTATCATGGATAGCGTAAACTTGGTTAATTTATTTAAATTCAGCTTTGGTTCATTACGATTAGGGTAAATTACTATAGTATAGGATAAATTCCCTTTGATTTTTTACTTAAATTGGAATAAATTATACTAAATTTGGATGGGATAGGTTAAATTTTGTAAACATTAATGAAATTTTACTTTGGTTGTGTTAGAATAAGTAAGTTTGGGTTAGACTGGGTACTGTTAGGCTAAGCTAACTTAGTTTATTATTATAAATAGTTAAACTTCTAACAGGTCGGAAGGAATAGTTGGATTTTTTGGCATACAGAAATGGAGAATAATATTATGTGTTGTAGGGTATTGGCGAGCATGCTTCAAATGTATAGTGTGTATAGTGAAATATTGTGATGATGGGTGGGAGTTGGAAGGTCTTAGATGGAAATGAACTAGCTTGTTCAGGAGTTAGTGTAAATTTCCATGTTTGAATCTGAGATATAGTTAAGGTCTGTAATGGATAGAGAAACTATGAATTAATGCAAATATAGGTGATTTTAAGGTGACAATATCAGAGTGTACATGTTTGTGTGTAAAAGTATGTGTGTGTGTTTCGACTTGTACTAGTGTCTTTCCAATTTGTGAAACTGAAATTTTTAAACAATTGTGCTTTCTGTGAAAGTGTGTTGAATTTGAGCAAATATGTACGCATTTTGTGACATCGTGTTTTACATGTTTGCCAGTTTGAGTAAGTGTATATATGTGTTTTTTGTGAAAATGGGACCTTTGTACAAGTGCCAGAGCTCAACCCCAGCAAGGGCGAGGACTTTTGGATAGGTAGCAGAATTAATCACACCACACTAGGGAACAGGGAAAGGGGGTAACAAGAGGGCCGAGAAGCAGGCAGAGGTCCTTGTTTGATATTTAATAACAGCATCACTATCTCGATGAGGCCCTCGGGGGTCTATTTTTCATGTTCTTCGGTTTCTTGTTTTGGCTTCGTGACTGTACTTTTTGGCTTCATGGGTGTCCACAGGCGACAGATTTCTGAAAGCGGTTTTTCGACCTGTGGTTGTGTCCCAAATACCAGGTGCATCGTGACCCCTCAAACATGGGCATACGTACCCGATGAGACGTCGAGACTGCATCTTTGGAGCCATACTCATCTACGCCAGAAAGGTCCTCTTCGTCCACATGCTCGTCTGAAGATGCGTAGTCCTTTTCATCCTGTGTCGCCAGTATTCCTGCTTTCTTTGTGGTGTGTACCGCTGTCAGCGTCGTCTGGATGTCTGCAGTTGTCGTAGTCCATGGAGCATCCGTTTGAGGGTCCGCAGTTGTCGTCGTCCGTGGAGCGTCTGTTTGAGTGTCCGCAGTTGCATCGTCCGTGGAGTGTCCGTTTGAGTGTCTGCAGTTGTCGTCGTCTGTGGAGCATCCATTTCAGTGTCCGCAGTTGCATCGTCCGTGGAGCGTCCGTCTGGGTGTCCGTAGTTGTCGTCCTCTGTGGAGCGTCCATCTGGATGTCCACAGTTGTCTTCATCCGTGGAGCGTCCCTCTGAGTGTCCGCAGTTGTCGCTGTCAGCCGTGGGACTTCTGTCTGGGTGGCTGCAATTCTATGTTGATTCACTGGTGCAACGTACAGGCGCAATACCATTTGCTTTTAGAAGCCCATTCATTGTTCTGAGGAATAAATTGTGATCTTGTTGCGCAACTCTGTCCACATAGGTAATGTTGACCTGGATGTGGATGTTCTGGATGGATGTCGGCGTCTCTGGTTTTGGCGAGTCCTGCTGCTGAGGCATGTTTGGGCGTCTAGTCCATACGCTCGTAGTCCACATCTGGCTCATAGAAGGGAGGCTCGGGAACTGGTCAGGTCTAAGGTCGCGGCGACTTGCCTGGGTGGTCGGCGGCATGGTGGTCTTCATTTTAATCTTTATCACTTTTTCCTTCCTTTTTGTGCAGAGATAGGAGGTGGCGGAGTGCTGGTATCCACAGTTCGCACATTTCTCGATGGTGGCGGTACAGTCCTTGTAGTTGTGAGTGCCAGAGCATGAGCTGCACTTAGCCGTTTGTTCTGGGCACATGTTGGAGAAGTGTTCATAGCTGAAGCACTTGTAGCACTGTCTCACGTTGTAGACCTTCTCCATGGCGATCTGGTTTGGGAAGGAGGTGATTCTAAAGCACCTGAACCCGTTCTTCACTGCTTCCTGGGCCTGTTCTGCTGTTTCGAAGGTCATCTTCATCGTGGGTCGAGTGGCGTCGTTAGTCTTGATGAGTAGAGCTGTCATCGTTCTCAGAGTAAGGTTTTCTTCGTTCACTTGCCGCACTATGGTGTCGAGTACCTCATCCGCTAACCAGCAGTGCAGCCTGTTCACAAATATCGTTATCCCAGTAGTGATTTGTCTGGGAGGAATTGGTGAGAGGTTCGCCTCCCGTAGTGGGACCCGGCGATCCGGATTTTCTGTAGGTCCGCTTTTGTTGCCCCGATTGTTGCCGAGGCCTCGTTACCATGCATATGGACCTCATCTGGTCCCACTGATGTTGCCTTGTCAATAGCTGCTGCAATTTCACACTCAGAGCGCTTGAAGACTCCGAGGAGTCGCACTTTCACTTTGTATGTCATGTTCTCTAGCAATGGTTCGGACTGTCAGGAGAACCTGAAGTGTAGAATAGTTTGCTGGCATCTGAGTGGGAACACAGCTACCAGCAAACCACTCTACACTCCAGCTGTTTTAGATTTAGCTACTCTGAACGAAATGTTCATGTAGCACGGGCTATAGTGAGCCCGTAATTGAGTTCAGCTATTCGCGATAACCTTGTTAATGTGATATTTCGGTCAACGACTTAAATAAAGGTGGGGTTTCCTCCTTTTCTCCAATTTCTTTTTCACTTGCAAGGAGAAATTTATACATTTAGAAGTGTGGGTTCACCTCACTCTACGATTCACCTAACCCTTATAATCGTAGGCAGTGGTGAAGGGCAGTGTGAGGTGATTGTTGTCTGACTCCGGCTTCTGGCTGTCCGCCTGGTCTGAGATCTTCTCTCTGGATCAATGGAGTACCATCGGACAGTATATGCTCGAAGTCTAATTCATCTGGATGTTGATTACTGGTGTCAGTTCCCGAATGAGCACAGCCTCAAGCGTATGAAGCCTCCTACGATCGTTGGTGCGTATGATTACTGTCGTACCTTTCACTATGCCTTGACTATTTAGGATGGTAGTGTTGTGTTGAGACTGATGATGTTTAATACCTCCCTCATGCAAATGAAGTGAAAGACGTCTACCCAGTGTATTCGTGGTATGTCCAATGTTGCATATATATCGGAGCGCACAGTCTCCAAAGGTGCATTTGTATTGATACACTACACGTCTTGTATGGGTCCTACTGTGTACACCTCAGTTTGTCAGAATAGGTAGAGATGTTATTTCCCATAATGAGGGAAGATGTACGAGGATTGTTAGAACGAATCCTTCCGTTTTCACTGCAAGGTTTACAATTCCTTACAATTATGTCTCGTATCACCTTCTCATCCTTCTTGTATGCTCGAGTAAATGTATTTGTATAATACACTACAATGACTACAATGAAGCGACTAATACACTATTCTCTTGGGGGCCGATTTTCCACCCCTAGGGCCTGATTATCCTCAGTCAGATGGCGGCCTAGCTTCTTACTAACAATTTCGTCGAATTCCACTGACTCTTTAGGCCTTCCCGTGGGGTGCCACTTTGGCATGTGAGTGTGTTAGGTGGTCCAGGTCCCAGTCATGTAAATACCTAACCATCACCGCAATGATAATTTACCTAGTGTTACTTTGATGAAACGTTGTAACAACGTTGTGGTTATGTTGTGCATGGCATCAACCAGCACTGTAATATCGTTGTGGTTATGTTGTGCATGGCATCGACCAACGTTGTAACATCGTTGTTGTTATATTATGTGTGACATCCACAAATGTTGTAACATTGTTGTGGTCATCTTTTGTATGGCATCAACAAACGTTGTAACAACATTGTGGTTACGCTGTGCGTGGCATCAACGAACGTTGCAAAAACGTTGTGGTTATGGTGTGTGTGGCATCAACAAACGTTGTAACATCGTTGTGGTTATGTTGTGTGTGACATCAACACCTGAAAAATCTCTTTGAAAACTTTTGAATATATATATATATATATATATATATATATATATATATATATATATATATATATATATATATATATATATATATATATATATATATATATATATAATAGAGGCCATAATAATCACTGACCATAGCAATAAGAGCCAAGTCTTCGTAATGGGGTGGGGGAAGTGGCTATGAAAGTAAACCCCCCCCCTCCACCCCCAACCAGGCTATGACAGTCCCCTATCCCCCATCTGTCATCCAGGAAAGTTGGGCGGGGATATCCCCAAATGTCTTGTTACTAACATTCAGACACTTGCATTTGTTTAATTGCTATATATATATATATATGTGTGTGTGTGACTATTATTAAGCGTGGTGTTGATGCGTGCAGGCGCTGCGCATCTCCAACTCGGCGAGGAAAGAGTCGACAGTTGGAGAGATCGTGAACCTGATGGCCGTGGACGCCCAGCGCTTCATGGACCTCATGACCTACATTGTTCTGCTGTGGTCAGCACCGCTCCAGATCGCTCTCGCCCTCTACTTCCTCTGGCAGATCCTGGGTAAGAGGAGGTTCTTGTGTCTTGACCCTCTAGAGTGTGTGGGGCACGGGTATAGTTGTATGTTGATGAGTTTATAGTGTGTGGGGCACGGGTATAGTAGTATGTTGATGAGTTTATAGTGTGTGGGGCACGGGTATAGTAGTATGTTGATGAGTTTATAGTGTGTGGGGCACGGGTATAGTAGTATGTTGATGAGTTTATAGTGTGTGGGGCACGGGTATAGTAGTATGTTGATGAGTTCATAGTGTGTGGGGCACGGGTATAGTAGTATGTTGATGAGTTCATAGTGTGTGGGGCACGTGTATAGTTGTATGTTGATGAGTTTATAGTGTGTGGGGCACGTGTATAGTAGTATGTTGATGACGTGGGGCACGGGTATAGTAGTATGTTGATGAGTTCATAGTGTGTGGGGCACGGGTATAGTAGTATGTTGATGAGTTCATAGTATGTGGGGCTCGGGTATAGTAGTATGTTGATGAGTTCATAGTGTGTGGGGCTCGGGTATAGTAGTATGTTGATGAGTTCATACTGTATGGGGCACGGGTATAGTAGTATGTTGATGAGTTCATACTGTGTAGGGCACGGGTATAGTAGTATGTTGATGAGTTCATACTGCGTAGGGCACGGGTATAGTTGTATGTTGATGAGTTCATAGTGTGTGGGGCACGGGCATAGTAGTATGTTGATGAGTTCATAGTGTGTGGGGCACGGGTATAGTAGTATGTTGATGAGTTCATAGTGTGTGGGGCACGGGTATAGTAGTATGTTGATGAGTTCATAGTGTGTGGGGGCACGGGTATAGTAGTATGTTGATGAGTTCATAGTGTGTGGGGCACGGGTATAGTTGTATGTTGATGAGTTCATAGTATGTGGGGCACGGGTATAGTAGTATGTTGATGAGTTCATAGTGTGTGGGGCACAATCAAGCCACTTCACACAACAATTAACATGTGTGAAGATAGTCAAGCCACTTATAGGCACCATCTGACAGTGTGATTGTTGACATGCTGCAGGGTGGTCAGTGCTGGCCGGCTTGGCAGTGTTGCTAGTGCTGATCCCCATCAACGGGTTCGTGGCCTCCAAGAGCAGACAGCTCCAGATCACCCAGATGAAGTTCAAGGATCAGCGCGTCAAGATGATGAATGAAATCCTCAATGGAATAAGGGTAATATTACGTGATTTTATGTTTTGGATAATAATCAGAGCTGAGCTTATTTTATCACGTAAACTTTCATAGAGGAATTATCAGGCTTTTTAGTATTTAAATTGTGTGTGCATGGTTGGTGGTATTCAACCATACACATCCCCCAGCGGGAATGTGAGTGGTTGAATACATCCCCCAGCGGGAATGTGTATGGTTGAATACATCCCCCAGCGGGAATGTGTATGGTTGAATACATCCCCCAGCGGGAATGTGTATGGTTGAATACATCCCCCAGCGGGAATGTGTATGGTTGAATACATCCCCCAGCGGGAATGTGTATGGTTGAATACATCCCCCAGCGGGAATGTGTATGGTTGAATACATCCCCCAGTGGGAATGTGAGTGGTTGAATACATCCCCCAGCGGGAATGTGTATGGTTGAATACATCCCCCAGCGGGAATGTGTATGGTTGAATACATCCCCCAGTGGGAATGTGAGTGGTTGAATACATCCCCCAGCGGGAATGTGTATGGTTGAATACATCCCCCAGCGGGAATGTGTATGGTTGAATACATCCCCCAGCGGGAATGTGTATGGTTGAATACATCCCCCAGCGGGAATGTGTATGGTTGAATACATCCCCCAGCGGGAATGTGTATGGTTGAATACATCCCCCAGTGGGAATGTGAGTGGTTGAATACATCCCCCAGCGGGAATGTGTATGGTTGAATACATCCCCCAGCGGGAATGTGTATGGTTGAATACATCCCCCAGCGGGAATGTGTATGGTTGATACATCCCCCAGCGGGAATGTGTATGGTTGAATACATCCCCCAGCGGGAATGTGAATGGTTGAATACATCCCCCAGCGGGAATGTGAGTGGTTGAATACATCCCCCAGCGGGAATGTGAGTGGTTGAATACATCCCCCAGCGGGAATGTGAATGGTTGAATACATCCCCCAGCGGGAAGGTGTATGGTTGAATACATCCCCCAGCGGGAATGTGTATGGTTGAATACATCCCCCAGCGGGAATGTGTATGGTTGATACATCCCCCAGCGGGAATGTGTATGGTTGAATACATCCCCCAGCGGGAATGTGAATGGTTGAATACATCCCCCAGCGGGAATGTGAGTGGTTGAATACATCCCCCAGCGGGAATGTGAGTGGTTGAATACATCCCCCAGCGGGAATGTGAATGGTTGAATACATCCCCCAGCGGGAAGGTGTATGGTTGAATACATCCCCCAGCGGGAATGTGCATGGTTGAATACATCCCCCAGCAGGAAGGTGAATGGTTGAATACATCCCCCAGCGGGAAGGTGAATGGTTGAATACATCCCCCAGTGGGAAGGTGAATGGTTGAATACATCCCCCAGCGGGAATGTGAGTGGTTGAATACATCCCCCAGCGGGAATGTGCATGGTTGAATACATCCCCCAGCAGGAAGGTGAATGGTTGAATACATCCCCCAGCGGGAAGGTGAATGGTTGAATACATCCCCCAGCGGGAATGTGAGTGGTTGAATACATCCCCCAGCGGGAAGGTGAATGGTTGAATACATCCCCCAGCGGGAAGGTGAATGGTTGAATACATCCCCCAGCGGGAAGGTGTATGGTTGAATACATCCCCCAGCGGGAATGTGAGTGGTTGAATACATCCCCCAGCGGGAAGGTGAATGGTTGAATACATCCCCCAGCGGGAAGGTGAATGGTTGAATACATCCCCCAGCAGGAAGGTGAATGGTTGAATACATCCCCCAGCGGGAAGGTGAATGGTTGAATACATCCCCCAGCGGGAATGTGAGTGGTTGAATACATCCCCCAGCGGGAAGGTGTATGGTTGAATACATCCCCCAGCGGGAAGGTGTATGGTTGAATACATCCCCCAGCGGGAATGTGAGTGGTTGAATACATCCCCCAGTGGGAAGGTGTATGGTTGAATACATCCCCCAGCGGGAAGGTGTATGGTTGAATACATCCCCCAGCAGGAAGGTGAATGGTTGAATACATCCCCCAGTGGGAAGGTGAATGGTTGAATACATCCCCCAGCAGGAAGGTGAATGGTTGAATACATCCCCCAGTGGGAAGGTGAATGGTTGAATACATCCCCCAGCAGGAAGGTGAATGGTTGAATACATCCCCCAGTGGGAAGGTGTATGGTTGAATACATCCCCCAGCGGGAAGGTGTATGGTTGAATACATCCCCCAGCGGGAATGTGTATGGTTGAATACATACCCCAGCGGGAATGTTTGTGTATGGTTGGAAGGTATCTTCCCCTGCGGGAATGTCCTTCCATCTATCAAACCATGCATCCCACCACAGGTGTTGTAACACGTGTCTAACTGTGCAGGTGTTGAAGCTGTACGCCTGGGAGCCGTCGTTCGAGGAGCAGGTGCTCAACATCCGGGCCGAGGAGATGAAGGTGCTGAAGAAGTCATCTTACCTCAACGCCTTCACCTCCTTCATCTTCTCCTGCACCCCCTTCATAGTGAGTTGATGTTCTCAGTGATGAGTTGATGTTCTTAATGATGAGTTGATGTTCTCAATGACGAGTTGATGTTCTTAATGATGAGTTGATGTTCTCAGTGATGAGTTGATGTTCTAAGTGATGAGTTGATGTTCTTAATGATGAGTTGATGTTCTTAATGATGAGTTGATGTTTTCAGTGATGAGTTGATGTTATTAATGATGAGTTGATGTTCTCAGTGATGAGTTGATGTTCTCAGTGATGAGTTGATGTTCTTAATGATGAGTTGATGTTCTTAATGATGAGTTGATGTTCTCAATGACGAGTTGATCTTCTTAATGATGAGTTGATGTTCTCAGTGATGAGTTGATGTTCTAAGTGATGAGTTGATGTTCTCAATGACGAGTTGATGTTCTTAATGATGAGTTGATGTTCTCAGTGATGAGTTGATGTTCTTAATGATGAGTTGATGTTCTCAATGACGAGTTGATGTTCTTAATGATGAGTTGATGTTCTCAGTGATGAGTTGATGTTCTAAGTGATGAGTTGATGTTCTTAATGATGAGTTGATGTTCTCAGTGATGAGTTGATGTTCTTAATGATGAGTTGATGTTCTCTGTGATGAGTTGATGTTCTCAGTGATGAGTTGATGTTCTCAGTGATGAGTTGATGTTCTTAATGATGAGTTGATGTTCTCAATGACGAGTTGATGTTCTTAATGATGAGTTGATGTTCTCAGTGATGAGTTGATGTTCTAAGTGATGAGTTGATGTTCTTAATGATGAGTTGATGTTCTCAGTGATGAGTTGATGTTCTTAATGATGAGTTGATGTTCTCAGTGATGAGTTGATGTTCTCAGTGATGAGTTGATGTTCTCAGTGATGAGTTGATGTTCTTAATGATGTGTTGATGTTCTCAGTGATGAGTTGATGTTCTAAGTGATGAGTTGATGTTCTCAGTGATGAGTTGATGTTCTCAGTGATGAGTTGATGTTCTCAGTGATGTGTTGATGTTCTCAGTGATGTGTTGATGTTCTCAGTGATGTGTTGATGTTCTCAGTGATGTGTTGATGTTCTCAGTGATGTGTTGATGTTCTCAGTGATGTGTTGATGTTCTTAATGATGAGTTGATGTTCTCAGTGATGAGTTGATGTTCTCAGTGATGAGTTCATGTTCTCAGTGTTGAGTTGATGTTCTCAGAGATGTGTTGATGTTCTTAATGATGAGTTGATGTTCTCAGTGTGGGGTTGATGTTCTTAATGATGAGTTGATGTTCTCAGTGATGAGTTGATGTTCTCAGTGATGAGTTGATGTTCTTAGTGATGAGTTGATGTTCTCAGTGATGAGTTGATGTTCTCAGTGATGAGTTGATGTTCTCAGTGTTGAGTTGATGTTCTCAGAGATGTGTTGATGTTCTTAATGATGAGTTGATGTTCTCAGTGATGAGTTGATGTTCTTAATGATGAGTTGATGTTCTCAGTGATGAGTTGATGTTCTTAATGATGAGTTGATGTTTTTAGTGATGAGTTGATGTTCTAAGTGATGAGTTGATGTTCTCAGTGATGTGTTGATGTTCTTAATGATGAGTTGATGTTCTCAGTGATGAGTTGATGTTCTCAGTGATGTGTTGATGTTCTCAGTGAGTTGGGCAACCATCATTACAGCTGTCATAACACATAGAGCAGGATACACCTGTCATAACACATAGAGCAGGATACACCTGTCATAACACATAGAGCAGGATACACCTGTCATAACACATAGAGCAGGATACACCTGTCATAACACATAGAGCAGGATACACCTGTCATAACACATAGAGCAGGATACACCTGTCATAACACATAGAGCAGGATACACCTGTCATAACACATAGAGCAGGATACACCTGTCATAACACATAGAGCAGGATACACCTGTCATAACACATAGAGCAGGATACACCTGTCATAACACATAGAGCAGGATACACCTGTCATAACACATAGAGCAGGATACACCTGTCATAACACATAGAGCAGGATACACCTGTCATAACACATAGAGCAGGATACACCTGTCATAACACATAGAGCAGGATACACCTGTCATAACACATAGAGCAGGATACACCTGTCATAACACATAGAGCAGGATACACCTGTCATAACACATAGAGCAGGATACACCTGTCATAACACATAGAGCAGGATACACCTGTCATAACACATAGAGCAGGATACACCTGTCATAACACATAGAGCAGGATACACCTGTCATAACACATAGAGCAGGATACACCTGTCATAACACATAGAGCAGGATACACCTGTCATAACACATAGAGCAGGATACACCTGTCATAACACATAGAGCAGGATACACCTGTCATAACACATAGAGCAGGATACACCTGTCATAACACATAGAGCAGGATACACCTGTCATAACACATAGAGCAGGATACACCTGTCATAACACATAGAGCAGGATACACCTGTCATAACACATAACACATAGAGCATACACCTGTCATAACACATAGAGCAGGATACACCTGTCATAACACATAGAGCAGGATACACCTGTCATAACACATAGAGCAGGATGCACCTGTCATAACACATAGAGCTAGTTACACCTGTCATAACACATAGAGCAGGATACACCTGTCATAACACATAGAGCAGGATACACCTGTCATAACACATAGAGCAGGATACACCTGTCATAACACATAGAGCAGGATACACCTGTCATAACACATAGAGCAGGATACACCTGTCATAACACATAGAGCTAGTTACACCTGTCATAACACATAGAGCAGGATACACCTGTCATAACACATAGAGCAGGATACACCTGTCATAACACATAGAGCAGGATACACCTGTCATAACACATAGAGCAGGATACACCTGTCATAACACATAGAGCAAGTTCATGTAGCACAGAAGTGAACTATTTCTAACATAAGGACCTAACTGTAAATATATACAATTTTTCTTACATTCCAAAAAATAATGTTTGACTAATTGTGGTGGTGGTCACGACACCTTGTGTGCTGGTCACCACACCTTGTGTGCTGGTCACCACACCTTGTGTGCTGGTCACCACACCTTGTGTGCTGGTCACCACACCTTGTGTGCTGGTCACCACACCTTGTGTGCTGGTCACCACACCTTGTGTGCTGGTCACCACACCTTGTGTGCTGGTCACCACACCTTGTGTGCTGGTCACCACACCTTGTGTGCTGGTCACCACACCTTGTGTGCTGGTCACCACACCTTGTGTGCTGGTCACCACACCTTGTGTGCTGGTCACCACACCTTGTGTGCTGGTCACCACACCTTGTGTGCTGGTCACCACACCTTGTGTGCTGGTCACTACACCTTGTGTGCTGGTCACCACACTTTGTGTGCTGGTCACCACACCTTGTGTGCTGGTCACCACACCTTGTGTGCTGGTCACCACACCTTGTGTGCTGGTCACCACACCTTGTGTGGGTTACAACAACAACAGCAGCTGGCATGTGCTCTCAGTCTTGCAGAACGTTGATCAATATTACAGGTGACGATCGCCATGTTTGCAACATATGTGTTGTCGGACGAAGAGCACATACTGACGGCCCAGACCATCTTCACCTCCATCTCTCTCCTCAACATTCTCAGGATGCCCATGGCCATGTTGCCCTTCCTTATTGTGGCCGTGGTCCAGGTGTGTGTATGGCCATGTTGCCCTTGCTTATTGTGGCCGTGGTCCAGGTGTGTGTATGGCCATGTTGCCCTTATTGTGGCTGTGGTCCAGGTGTGTGTATGGCCATGTTGCCCTTATTGTGGCCGTGGTCCAGGTGTGTGTATGGCCATGTTGCCCTTCCTTATTGTGGCCGTGGTCCAGGTGTGTGTATGGCCATGTTGCCCTTATTGTGGCTGTGGTCCAGGTGTGTGTATGGCCATGTTGCCCTTCCTTATTGTGGCCGTGGTCCAGGTGTGTGTATGGCCATGTTGTCCTTATTGTGGCTGTGGTCCAGGTGTGTGTATGGCCATGTTGCCCTTCCTTATTGTGGCCGTGGTCCAGGTGTGTGTATGGCCATGTTGTCCTTATTGTGGCTGTGGTCCAGGTGTGTGTATGGCCATGTTGCCCTTCCTTATTGTGGCTGTGGTCCAGGTGTGTGTATGGCCATGTTGCCCTTCCTTATTGTGGCTGTGGTCCAGGTGTGTGTATGGCCATGTTGTCCTTATTGTGGCTGTGGTCCAGGTGTGTGTATGGCCATGTTGTCCTTATTGTGGTTGTGGTCCAGGTGTGTGTATGGCCATGTTGTCCTTATTGTGGCCGTGGTCCAGGTGTGTGTATGGCCATGTTGTCCTTATTGTGGCTGTGGTCCAGGTGTGTGTATGGCCATGTTGCCCTTCCTTATTGTGGCTGTGGTCCAGGTGTGTGTATGGCCATGTTGTCCTTATTGTGGCTGTGGTCCAGGTGTGTGTATGGCCATGTTGCCCTTATTGTGGCCGTGGTCCAGGTGTGTGTATGGCCATGTTGTCCTTATTGTGGCCGTGGTCCAGGTGTGTGTATGGCCATGTTGCCTTTATTGTGGCCGTGGTCCAGGTGTGTGTATGGCCATGTTGTCCTTATTGTGGCCGTGGTCCAGGTGTGTGTATGGCCATGTTGCCTTTATTGTGGCCGTGGTCCAGGTGTGTGTATGGCCATGTTGTCCTTATTGTGGCCGTGGTCCAGGTGTGTGTATGGCCATGTTGCCCTTCCTTATTGTGGCCGTGGTCCAGGTGTGTGTATGGCCATGTTGTCCTTATTGTGGCTGTGGTCCAGGTGTGTGTATGGCCATGTTGCCTTTATTGTGGCCGTGGTCCAGGTGTGTGTATGGCCATGTTGTCCTTATTGTGGCCGTGGTCCAGGTGTGTGTATGGCCATGTTGCCCTTCCTTATTGTGGCCGTGGTCCAGGTGTGTGTATGGCCATGTTGCCTTTATTGTGGCCGTGGTCCAGGTGTGTGTATGGCCATGTTGCCCTTATTGTGGCCGTGGTCCAGGTGTGTGTATGGCCATGTTGCCCTTATTGTGGCTGTGGTCCAGGTGTGTGTATGGCCATGTTGCCCTTCCTTATTGTGGCCGTGGTCCAGGTGTGTGTATGGCCATGTTGCCTTTATTGTGGCCGTGGTCCAGGTGTGTGTATGGCCATGTTGCCCTTATTGTGGCCGTGGTCCAGGTGTGTGTATGGCCATGTTGTCCTTATTGTGGCTGTGGTCCAGGTGTGTGTATGGCCATGTTGCCCTTATTGTGGCTGTGGTCCAGGTGTGTGTATGGCCATGTTGCCCTTATTGTGGCTGTGGTCCAGGTGTGTGTATGGCCATGTTGTCCTTATTGTGGCCGTGGTCCAGGTGTGTGTATGGCCATGTTGCCCTTATTGTGGCTGTGGTCCAGGTGTGTGTATGGCCATGTTGCCCTTATTGTGGCCGTGGTCCAGGTGTGTGTATGGCCATGTTGTCCTTATTGTGGCCGTGGTCCAGGTGTGTGTATGGCCATGTTGTCCTTATTGTGGCCGTGGTCCAGGTGTGTGTATGGCCATGTTGTCCTTATTGTGGCTGTGGTCCAGGTGTGTGTATGGCCATGTTGCCCTTATTGTGGCTGTGGTCCAGGTGTGTGTATGGCCATGTTGCCCTTATTGTGGCCGTGGTCCAGGTGTGTGTATGGCCATGTTGCCCTTATTGTGGCCGTGGTCCAGGTGTGTGTATGGCCATGTTGCCCTTATTGTGGCCGTGGTCCAGGTGTGTGTATGGCCATGTTGTTTTTCCTTATTGTGGCCGTGGTCCAGGTGTGTGAATGGCTTCATGGGTTAAGAATATAGAGTATGTTCACCCTTAGTGTGTCCTGGTCCCACCCCTAGTGTGTCCAGGTCCCACCCCTAGTGTGTACTGGTCCCACCCTAGTGTGTCTTGGTCCCACCCGTAGTGTGTACTGGTCCCACCCCAAGTGTGTCCTGGTCCCACCCGCAGTGTGTCCTGGTCCCACCCCTAGTGTGTTCTGGTTCCACCCTTAGTATGTCCTGGTCCCACCCTAGTGCATCCTGGTCCCACCCCTAGTGTGTCCTGGTCACACCCCTAGTACATCCTGGTCCTACCCCTAGTGTGTCCTGGTCACACCCCTAGTGTGTCCTGGTCCCACCCCTAGTGCATCCTGGTCCCACCCCCAGTGTGCCCTGGTCCCACCCCTAGTGTGTCCTGGTCCTACCCCTAGTGTGTCCTGGTCTCACCCTAGTGTGTCCAGGTCCCACCCCTACTGTGTACTGGTCCCACCCTAGTGTGTCTTGGTCCCACCCGTAGTGTGTACTGGTCCCACCCCTAGTGTGTCCTGGTCCCACCCGCAGTGTGTCCTGGTCCCACCCCTAGTGTGTTCTGGTTCCACCCTTAGTATGTCCTGGTCCCACCCTAGTGCATCCTGGTCCCACCCTAGTGTGTCCTGGTCACACCCCTAGTGCATCCTGGTCCTACCCCTAGTGTGTCCTGGTCACACCCCTAGTGTGTCCTGGTCCCACCCCTAGTGCATCCTGGTCCCACCCCCAGTGTGCCCTGGTCCCACCCCTAGTGTGTCCTGGTCCCACCCCTAGTGTGTCCTGGTCCCACCCGCAGTGTGTCCTGGTCCCACCCCTAGTGTGTTCTGGTTCCACCCTTAGTATGTCCTGGTCCCACCCTAGTGCATCCTGGTCCCACCCCTAGTGTGTCCTGGTCACACCCCTAGTGCATCCTGGTCCTACCCCTAGTGTGTCCTGGTCACACCCCTAGTGTGTCCTGGTCCCACCCCTAGTGCATCCTGGTCCCACCCCCAGTGTGCCCTGGTCCCACCCCTAGTGTGTCCTGGTCCCACCCTAGTGTGTCCTGGTCCCACCCCTAGTGTGTCCTGGTCCCACCCCTAGTGTGTCCTGGTCCCACCCCTAGTGTGTGTCCTGGTCACACCCCTAGTGTGTCCTGGTCCCACCCCTAGTGTGTGTCCTGGTCACACCCCTAGTGTGTCCTGGTCCCACCCCTAGTGTGTCCTGGTCCCACCCCTAGTGTGTCCTGGTCTCACCCCTAGTGTGTCCTGGTCCCACCCCTAGTGTGTCCTGGTCCCACCCCTAGTGTGTCCTGGTCCCACCCCTAGTGTGTCCTGGTCCCACCCCAAGTGCATCCTGGTCCCACCCCTAGTGTGTCCTGGTCCCACCCCTAGTGTGTCCTGGTCCCACCCCTAGTGTGTCCTGGTCTCACCCCTAGTGTGTCCTGGTCCCACCCCTAGTGTGTCCTGGTCTCACCCCTAGTGTGTCCTGGTCCCACCCCTAGTGTGTCCTGGTCTCACCCCTAGTGTGTCCTGGTCCCACGCCTAGTGTGTCCTGGTCTCATCCCTAGTGTGTCCTGGTCCCACCCCCTAGTGTGTCCTGGTCCCACCCCTAGTGTGTCCTGGTCCCACCCCTAGTGTGTCCTGGTCCCACCCCAGTGTGTCCTGGTCTCACCCCTAGTGTGTCCTGGTCCCACGCCTAGTGTGTCCTGGTCTCACCCCTAGTGTGTCCTGGTCCCACCCCTAGTGTGTCCTGGTCCCACCCCTAGTGTGTTTTGGTCCCACCCCTAGTGTGTCCTGGTCACACCCCTAGTGTGTCCTGGTCACACCCCTAGTGTGTCCTGGTCTCACCCCTAGTGTGTCCTGGTCCTACCCCTCGTGTGTCCTGGTCCCACGCCTAGTGTGTCCTGGTCCCACCCCTAGTGTGTCCTGGTCCCACCCCTAGTGTGTCCTGGTCCCACCCCTAGTGTGTCCTGGTCCCACCCCTAGTGTGTCCTGGTCCCACCCCTAGTGTGTCCTGGTCACACCCCTAGTGTCTCCTGGTCTCACCCCTAGTGTGTCCTGGTCACACCCCTAGTGTGTCCTGGTCATATCCCTAGTGTGTCCTGGTCCCACTCCTAGTGTGTTCTGGTCACACCCCTAGTTTGTCCTGGTCACACCCCTAGTGTGTCCTGGTCACACCCCTAGTGTGGCCTGGTCCCACCCCTAGTGTGTCCTGGTCATATCCCTAGTGTGTCCTGGTCCCACCCCTAGTGTGTCCTGGTCACACCCCTAGTGTGTCCTGGTCCCACCCTTAGAGTGTCCTGGTCACACCCTTAGTGTGTCCTGGTCACACCCCTAGTGCATCCTGGTCCCACCCCTAGTGTGTCCTGGTCACACCCCTAGTGTGTCCTGGTCACACCCCTAGTGTGTCCTGGTCCCACCCCTTGTGTGCCCTGGTCCCACCCCTAGTGTGTCCTGGTCCCACCCCTAGTGTGTCCTGGTCCAACCCCTAGTGTGTCCTGGTCCCACCCCTAGTGTATCCTGGTCCCACCCCTAGTGTGTCCTGGTCCCACCCCTAGTGTGTCCTGGTCCCACCCCTAGTGTGTCCTGGTCCCACCCCAAGTGCATCCTGGTCCCACCACTAGTGTGTCCTGGTCCCACCCCTAGTGTGTCCTGGTCCCACCCCTAGTGTGTCCTGGTCCCACCCCTAGTGTATCCTGGTCCCACCCCTAGTGTGTCCTGGTCCCACCCCTAGTGTGTCCTGGTCCCACCCCTAGTGTGTCCTGGTCCCACCCCTAGTGTGTCCTGGTCCCACCCCTAGTGTGTCCTGGTCCCACCCCTAGTGTGTCCTGGTCCCACCCCTAGTGTGTCCTGGTCCCACCCCTAGTGTGTCCTGGTCCCACCCCTAGTGTGTCCTGGTCCCACCCCTAGTGTGTCCTGGTCCCACCCCATAGTGTGTCCTGGTCCCACCCCTAGTGTGTCCTGGTCCCACCCCTAGTGTGTCCTGGTCCCACCCCTAGTGTGTCCTGGTCCAACCCCTAGCGTGTCCTGGTCACACCCTTAGCGTGTCCTGGTCACACCCCTAGTGTGTCCTGGTCCCACCCTTAGTATGTCCTGGTCACACCCCTAGTGTGTCGTGGTCCCACCCTAGTGTGTCCTGGTCCCACCCCTAGTGTATCCTGGTCCCACCCCTAGTGTGTCCTGGTCCCACCCCTAGTGTGTCCTGGTCCCACCCCTAGTATGTCCTGGTCCCACCCCTAGTGTGTCCTGGTCCAACCCCTAGCGTGTCCTGGTCACACCCCTAGCGTGTCCTGGTCACACCCCTAGTGTGTCCTGGTCCCACCCTTAGTATGTCCTGGTCACACCCCTAGTGTGTCCTGGTCACACCCCTAGTGTGTCCTGGTCCCACCCCTAGTGTGTCCTGGTCCCACCCCTAGTGTGTCCTGGTCACACCCCTAGTGTGTCCTGGTCCCACCCCTAGTGTGTCCTGGTCCCATCCTAGTGTGTCCTGGTCCCACCCTTAGTATGTCCTGGTCACACCCCTAGTGTGTCCTGGTCACACCCCTAGTGTGTCCTGGTCCCACCCCTAGTGTGTCCTGGTCCCACCCCTAGTGTGTCCTGGTCACACCCCTAGTGTGTCCTGGTCCCACCCCTAGTGTGTCCTGGTCCCATCCTAGTGTGTCCTGGTCCCACCCTTAGTATGTCCTGGTCACACCCCTAGTGTGTCCTGGTCCCACCCCTAGTGTGTCTTGGTCCCACCCCTAGTGTGTCCTGGTCACACCCCTAGTGTGTCCTGGTCCCACCCCTAGTGTGTCCTGGTCCCATCCTAGTGTGTCCTGGTCCCACCCTTAGTATGTCTTGGTCACACCCCTAGTGTGTCCTGGTCCCACACCTAGTGTGTCCTGGTCCCACCCCTAGTGTGTCCTGGTCCCACCCCTAGTGTGTCCTGGTCCCACCCCTAGTGTGTCCTGGTCCCACCCCTATTGTGTCCTGGTCCCACCCCTAGTCTGTCCTGGTCACACCCCTAGTGTCTCCTGGTCTCACCCCTAGTGTGTCCTGGTCACACCCCTAGTGTGTCCTGGTCATATCCCTAGTGTGTCCTGGTCCCACTCCTAGTGTGTTCTGGTCACACCCCTAGTTTGTCCTGGTCACACCCCTAGTGTGTCCTGGTCACACCCCTAGTGTGGCCTGGTCCCACCCCTAGTGTGTCCTGGTCATATCCCTAGTGTGTCCTGGTCCCACCCCTAGTGTGTCCTGGTCACACCCCTAGTGTGTCCTGGTCCCACCCTTAGTGTGTCCTGGTCACACCCTTAGTGTGTCCTGGTCACACCCCTAGTGCATCCTGGTCCCACCCCTAGTGTGTCCTGGTCACACCCCTAGTGTGTCCTGGTCACACCCCTAGTGTGTCCTGGTCCCACCCCTAGTGTGCCCTGGTCCCACCCCTAGTGTGTCCTGGTCCCACCCCTAGTGTGTCCTGGTCCAACCCCTAGTGTGTCCTGGTCCCACCCCTAGTGTATCCTGGACCCACCCCTAGTGTGTCCTGGTCCCACCCCTAGTGTGTCCTGGTCCCACCCCTAGTGTGTCCTGGTCCCACCCCAAGTGCATCCTGGTCCCACCCCTAGTGTGTCCTGGTCCCACCCCTAGTGTGTCCTGGTCCCACCCCTAGTGTGTCCTGGTCCCACCCCTAGTGTGTCCTGGTCCCACCCCTAGTGTGTCCTGGTCCCACCCCTAGTGTATCCTGGTCCCACCCCTAGTGTGTCCTGGTCCCACCCCTAGTGTGTCCTGGTCCCACCCCTAGTGTGTCCTGGTCCCACCCCTAGTGTATCCTGGTCCCACCCCTAGTGTGTCCTGGTCCCACCCCTAGTGTGTCCTGGTCCCACCCCTAGTGTGTCCTGGTCCCACCCCTAGTGTGTCCTGGTCCCACCCCTAGTGTGTCTTGGTCCCACCCCTTGTGTGTCCTGGTCCCACCCCTAGTGTGTCCTGGTCCCACCCCTAGTGTGTCCTGGTCCCACCCCATAGTGTGTCCTGGTCCCACCCCTAGTGTGTCCTGGTCCCACCCCTAGTGTGTCCTGGTCCCACCCCTAGTGTGTCCTGGTCCAACCCCTAGCGTGTCCTGGTCCCACCCTTAGTATGTCCTGGTCACACCCCTAGTGTGTCCTGGTCACACCCCTAGTGTGTCCTGGTCCCACCCTTAGTATGTCCTGGTCACACCCCTAGTGTGTCCTGGTCCCACCCCTAGTGTGTCCTGGTCCCACCCCTAGTGTATCCTGGTCCCACCCCTAGTGTGTCCTGGTCCCACCCCTAGTGTGTCCTGGTCCCACCCCTAGTATGTCCTGGTCCCACCCCTAGTGTGTCCTGGTCCAACCCCTAGCGTGTCCTGGTCACACCCCTAGCGTGTCCTGGTCACACCCCTAGTGTGTCCTGGTCCCACCCTTAGTATGTCCTGGTCACACCCCTAGTGTGTCCTGGTCACACCCCTAGTGTGTCCTGGTCCCACCCCTAGTGTGTCCTGGTCCCACCCCTAGTGTGTCCTGGTCACACCCCTAGTGTGTCCTGGTCCCACCCCTAGTGTGTCCTGGTCCCATCCTAGTGTGTCCTGGTCCCACCCTTAGTATGTCCTGGTCACACCCCTAGTGTGTCCTGGTCACACCCTAGTGTGTCCTGGTCCCACCCCTAGTGTGTCCTGGTCCCACCCCTAGTGTGTCCTGGTCCCACCCCTAGTGTGTCCTGGTCACACCCCTAGTGTGTCCTGGTCCCACCCCTAGTGTGTCCTGGTCCCACCCCTAGTGTGTCCTGGTCCCACCCCTAGTGTGTCCTGGTCCCACCCCTAGTGTGTCCTGGTCCCACCCCTAGTGTGTCCTGGTCCCACCCCTAGTGTGTCCTGGTCCCACCCCTAGTGTGTCCTGGTCCCACCCCTAGTGTGTCCTGGTCCTACCCCTAGTGTGTGTCCTGGTCCCACCCCTAGTGTGTCCTGGTCACACCCCTAGTGTGTCCTGGTCCCACCCCTAGTGTGTCCTGGTCCCACCCCTAGTGTGTACTGGTCCCACCCCTAGTGTGTCCTGGTCCCACCCCTAGTGTGTCCTGGTCCCACCCCTAGTGTGTCCTGGTCCCACCCCTAGTGTATCCTGGTCCCACCCTAGTGTGTCCTGGTCACACCCCTAGTGTGTCCTGGTCCTACCCCTAGTGTGTGTCCTGGTCCCACCCTAGTGTGTCCTGGTCACACCCCTAGTGTGTCCTGGTCCCACCCCTAGTGTGTCCTGGTCCCACCCCTAGTGTGTGTCCTGGTCACACCCCTAGTGTGTCCTGGTCCCACCCCTAGTGTGTCCTGGTCACACCCCATAGTGTGTCCTTGTGTCCTCTTTCTGTCACAACACCTTATTATTGTCCCACCCATAACGTCTCTGTTTTGTCCGACTCCTTGTGCCCACTCTCCATTTCCTCTCTGGTTACTTGTTCTTAATATTAACATGTTCTGGTAATTTGGTGCAGTCTGCATGTACAAGAACTTTCATTTTGTCTTCTATTTTGTGAAGATGTACATCCATGTCAAGTCGATTGGGTAAACAAAAAATTCCTTTATTAATTACTTGTTTAAATTATTATATATTTTAAATATTGATTATAGTAAGATGGTAAACTTTTAATCTTGAACTTCTTTCATAATATTTTACTGAAGAAATATTTGTATTAGTGAAGCAAAGACCTGACTGTATATTTTAATGAATTGCTTCTCTATTTTCAAGGCCAATGTTTCCTTGAAGAGACTGAATAAGTTCCTCAACGCTGACGAACTGGACCTGAACAGTGTATCAAGGGACGCCACACAGGGTGAGTGGACGTGAACAGTGTATCAAGGGACGCCACAGAGGGTGAGTGGACGTGAACAGTGTGTCAAGGGACGCCACAGAGGGTGAGTGGACCTGAACAGTGTGTCAAGGGACGTCACAGAGGGTGAGTGGACGTGAACAGTGTATCAAGGGACGCCACAAAGGGTGAGTGGACGTGAACAGTGTATCAAGGGACGCCACACAGGGTGAGTGGACCTGAACAGTGTATCAAGGGACGCCACAGAGGGTGAGTGGACGTGAACAGTGTGTCAAGGGACGCCACACAGGGTGAGTGGACGTGAACAGTGTATCAAGGGACGCCACAGAGGGTGAGTGGACCTGAACAGTGTATCAAGGGACGCCACACAGGGTGAGTGGACGTGAACAGTGTGTCAAGGGACGCCACAGAGGTGAGTGGACCTGAACAGTGTGTCAAGGGACGCCACAGAGGGTGAGTGGACGTGAACAGTGTATCAAGGGACGCCACAGAGGGTGAGTGGACCTGAACAGTGTGTCAAGGGACCCACAGAGGGTGAGTGGACCTGAACAGTGCGTCAAGGGACGCCACAGAGGGTGAGTGGACCTGAACAGTGTGTCAAGGGACGCCACAGAGGGTGAGTGGACCTGAACAGTGTGTCAAGGGACGCCACACAGGGTGAGTGGACGTGAACAGTGTATCAAGGGACGCCACACAGAGTGAGTGGACGTGAACAGTGTATCAAGGGACGCCACAGAGGGTGAGTGGACCTGAACAGTGTGTCAAGGGACGCCACAGAGGGTGAGTGGACGTGAACAGTGTATCAAGGGACGCCACACAGGGTGAGTTGACTTGAACAGTGTATCAAGGGACGCCACAGAGGGTGAGTGGACCTGAACAGTGTGTCAAGGGACGTCACAGAGGGTGAGTGGACCTGAACAGTGTATCAAGGGACGTCACAGAGGGTGAGTGGACCTGAACAGTGTGTCAAGGGACGCCACAGAGGGTGAGTGGACCTGAACAGTGTATCAAGGGACGTCACACAGGGTGAGTGGACCTGAACAGTGTGTCAAGGGACGTCACAGAGGGTGAGTGGACCTGAACAGTGTATCAAGGGACGCCACAGAGGGTGAGTGGACCTGAACAGTGTGTCAAGGGACGCCACAGAGGTGAGTGGACCTGAACAGTGTGTCAAGGGACGCCACAGAGGGTGAGTGGACCTGAACAGTGTGTCAAGGGACGCCACAGAGGGTGAGTGGACCTGAACAGTGTGTCAAGGGACGCCACACAGGGTGAGTGGACGTGAACAGTGTATCAAGGGACGCCACACAGAGTGAGTGGACGTGAACAGTGTATCAAGGGACGCCACAGAGGGTGAGTGGACCTGAACAGTGTGTCAAGGGACGCCACAGAGGGTGAGTGGACGTGAACAGTGTATCAAGGGACGCCACACAGGGTGAGTTGACTTGAACAGTGTATCAAGGGACGCCACAGAGGGTGAGTGGACCTGAACAGTGTGTCAAGGGACGTCACAGAGGGTGAGTGGACCTGAACAGTGTATCAAGGGACGTCACAGAGGGTGAGTGGACCTGAACAGTGTGTCAAGGGACGCCACAGAGGGTGAGTGGACCTGAACAGTGTATCAAGGGACGTCACACAGGTGAGTGGACCTGAACAGTGTGTCAAGGGACGTCACAGAGGGTGAGTGGACCTGAACAGTGTATCAAGGGACGCCACAGAGGGTGAGTGGACGTGAACAGTGTGTCAAGGGACGCCACAGAGGGTGAGTGGACCTGAACAGTGTGTCAAGGGACGTCACAGAGGGTGAGTGGACCTGAGCAGTGTATCAAGGGACGCCACAGAGGGTGAGTGGACGTGAGCAGTGTGTCAAGGGACGCCACAGAGGGTGAGTGGACCTGAACAGTGTGTCAAGGGACGTCACACAGGGTTAGTGGACCTGAACAGTGTGTCAAGGGACGCCACACAGGGTGAGTGGACCTGAACAGTGTGTCAAGGGACGTCACACAGGGTGAGTGGACCTGAACAGTGTGTCAAGGGACGCCACAGAGGGTGAGTGGACCTGAACAGTGTGTCAAGGGACGCCACAGAGGGTGAGTGAACGTGAACAGTGTGTCAAGGGACGCCACAGAGGGTGAGTGGACCTGAACAGTGTGTCAAGGGACGTCACACAGGGTGAGTGGACCTGAACAGTGTGTCAAGGGACGCCACACAGGGTGAGTGGACCTGAACAGTGTGTCAAGGGACGTCACACAGGGTGAGTGGACCTGAACAGTGTGTCAAGGGACGCCACAGAGGGTGAGTGGACCTGAACAGTGTGTCAAGGGACGCCACAGAGGGTGAGTGGACGTGAACAGTGTGTCAAGGGACGCCACACAGGGTGAGTGGACCTGAACAGTGTGTCAAGGGACGCCACACAGGGTGAGTGGACCTGAACAGTGTGTCAAGAACGCCACACAGGGTGAGTGGACCTGAACAGTGTGTCAAGGGACGCCACAGAGGGTGAGTGGACGTGAACAGTGTGTCAAGGGACGCCACAGAGGGTGAGTGGACGTGAACAGTGTGTCAAGGGACGCCACAGAGGGTGAGTGGACGTGAACAGTGTGTCAAGGGACGCCACAGAGGGTGAGTGGACCTGAACAGTGTGTCAAGGGACGCCACAGAGGGTGAGTGGACCTGAACAGTGTGTCAAGGGACGCCACAGAGGGTGAGTGGACGTGAACAGTGTATCAAGGGACGCCACAGAGGGTGAGTGGACGTGAACAGTGTGTCAAGGGACGCCACACAGGGTGAGTGGACCTGAACAGTGTGTCAAGGGACGCCACACAGGGTGAGTGGACCTGAACAGTGTGTCAAGGGACGCCACACAGGGTGAGTGGACCTGAACAGTGTGTCAAGGGACGCCACAGAGGGTGAGTGGACGTGAACAGTGTGTCAAGGGACGCCACAGAGGGTGAGTGGACGTGAACAGTGTGTCAAGGGACGCCACAGAGGGTGAGTGGACCTGAACAGTGTGTCAAGGGACGCCACAGAGGGTGAGTGGACCTGAACAGTGTGTCAAGGGACGCCACAGAGGGTGAGTGGCAACTGTGATATTTACTCCCAACAGTTGTACATATTTCCCTGATGTAAGTTGGTGTAAACATCATACAGTATAATGTTGTAAGATTATACAGTATAATGTTGTAACATTATACTGTATAATTTTGTAAGATTATACAGTATAATGTTGTAACATTATACTGTATAATGTTGTAACATTATACAGTATAATGTTGTAACATTATACAGTATAATGTTGTAACATTATACAGTATAATGTTGTAAGATTATACAGTATAATGTTGTAACATTATACTGTATAATTTTGTAAGATTATACAGTATAATGTTGTAACATTATACAGTATAATGTTGTAAGATTATACAGTATAATGTTGTAACATTATACAGTATAATGTTGTAAGATTATACAGTATAATGTTGTAACCCCAACATATTACCTCAAGGTAACATGTAATCTCTCTAAACAGAAGTGTTGCCAACACTCCCGCAGCCTCACACAAGAAGTGTTGCCAACACTCCCGCAGCCTCACAAGAAGTGTTGCCAACACTCCCGCAGCCTCACACAAGAAGTGTTGCCAACACTCCCGCAGGCTCACACAAGAAGTGTTGCCAACACTCCCGCAGCCTCACACAAGAAGTGTTGCCAACACTCCCGCAGCCTCACACAAGAAGTGTTGCCAACACTCCCGCAGCCTCACACAAGAAGTGTTGCCAACACTCCCGCAGCCTCACACAAGAAGGGTTGCCAACACTCCCGCAGCCTCACACAAGAACAAACCGGAAATGCTGAAAATATCGATTAAAGACTTGTTTGAAATGTCTAAGAAAAGATATGAATTTTTTATCTTCTCTTTACTGAAGTAGTCCTTGATTACTTGACTTTTGGCGACGATAATTGTTAGCAAAGAATTAAATATGATATAGACTTGATCTTAAACAATGGAAAACTTTACAATGTTTGCAAATCCTGAGAGGAATCCAAATCCTGAGGGGGATTCCAAATCCTGAGGGGGATTCCAAATGCTGAGGGGGATTCCAAATCCTGAGAGGGATTCCAAATCCTGAGAGGGATTTCAAATCCTGAGGGGGATTCCAAATGCTGAGGGGGCTTCCAAATCCTGAGAGGGATTCCAAATCCTGAGAGGGATTCCAAATCCTGAGAGGGATTTCTTAATTTATGGTTTTAACTATTTGTTTTCCATCATATTCCGTGCCCCTAAAGGTTTCTCTGTGGCTTACATGAACACATTCCGTAATTTACCTGAAGCTCAAAATTCCGATGTTTCAACCAAATTGCTTTTTAAACTGAATAATTTAGCCCAATAGGAAAAGTTAAATAGCTTCCCCTGTGAGAGTTGAGACAGCTACATCCTTGCTTGCGACCTCCGGTAGTGATCTGTGACTATAGTTTACACTCGTGACTGGCTAGCTGGTCAAGGTGGGGTCAAGGTGGGGTCAAGGTGGGGTCAAGGTGGAGGTCAAGGTGGGGTCAAGGTGGAGGTCAAGGTGGAGGTCAAGGTGGGGTCAAGGTGGGGTCAAGGTGGAGGTTAAGGTGGGGGTCAAGGTGGAGGTTAAGGTGGAGGTCAAGGTGGAGGTCAAGGTGGAGGTCAAGGTGGAGGTCAAGGTGGGGTCAAGGTGGAGGTCAAGGTGGGGTCAAGGTGGGGTCAAGGTGGGGTCAAGGTGGAGGTCAAGGTGGAGGTCAAGGTGGAGGTCAAGGTGGAGGTCAAGGTGGGGTCAAGGTGGAGGTCAAGGTGGAGGCCAAGGTGGGGTCAAGGTGGAGGTCAAGGTGGGGTCAATGTGGAGGTCAAGGTGGAGGTCAAGGTGGAGGTCAAGGTGGAGGTCAAGGTGGAGGTCAAGGTGGAGGTCAAGGTGGGGTCAAGGTGAAGGTCAAGGTGGAGGTCAAGGTGGAGGTCAAGGTGGAGGTCAAGGTGGGGTCAAGGT